AATACATTGTCCAATGTGTTTCTTCATTTTTCCAGACGAATTTTTGCTTTAGAAATAAATATCCTACCAATGTGCTAAGTGTTGTTAAGAATTACTAGTTGAAGAAATAATTAAGTTTTGTACTTAGTTAATTAAAAAAACACAGGTTTATAGTAGAAAATTTTCAAACGATATGTATACTGCAATAAAATCGTATTTCAAATATTCAGACAACATAAAAAAATCACAAAAGGAGGGGCACCTGGGTGGCTCATTCGGTTGAGAGTCCGACTTTGGCTCAGGTCATGATCTCACAGTTTGTGGGTTCGAGCCCCGCATTGGGCTCTGTGCTGACGCTGTCTCTCTCAGAAATAAATAAAACATTTTTTAAAAATGTAAAAAAAACCACAAAAGGATAAAGTTCTTGCCCCATCCCAATTTGTAGAGATTATTACTATTTAAAAATTTTTATTTTAATGTTTATTCAGTTTTGAAAGAGAGAGAGAGCACGAGCGGGGCAAGGGCAGAGAGAGGGGGAAACACAGAATCTGAAGCAGGCTTCAGGCTCTGAGCTGTCAGCACAGAGCCTGACGTGGGGCTCAAACCCACAAATTGTGAGATCATAACCTGAGCTGAAGTCGGATGCTTAACCAACTGAGCCATCCAGGTGCCCGGAGAGGTTATAACTATTATTAATATATTTCTTGTATGATTTTCATTAAATATTTTATGATCTTTGATTTTACATATATTGAATCATACTATTGAGGAGCTTACATTTTCTACTTAGTATCACATCTTGGAAATTTCTCCCTGGGAGCCTGTACAGATTTGTCCCCTACTTTTTAAGGTCTACATTGTATTCCCTTGCATGTAGGGACCACTCTTGATGTAACCAGTTCCCCACTGCTTGGCACTATGGTTATTTCTAGCTTTTGCTATTATGAACAATGTCAGGATAAACTCCCTTGTATATGGGGCTTTGGTTGTTGCTACGTATAAACACATAGGATAAATTCCTGGAAAAGTAACTAAGTCAGTTTGTTTGTGCAATTTTAACAGACACTGCCAACTCACTTCCAAAGAGGTTGTAGCAACTGACATTTTCACCCATAGTGTATGAGAATGTCTGTGTTCTCCAGATTCACCAGCACTAGGTGAAAATGATCAAACTTTACAATACAGTAAGTAAACTGTTATTAAAAAGCAACAGTAATAATATGCACATGTGGAATAGCAGTACCTATTAAGTGATCTCATCGGCAGAGATGAATGTTTACAATCACCGCTGAGAATTGGGCTGGTTCCCCTTTGAACAGAGGGTCAGGAGGTTGCAGGGAGCTAGACCAGGGTTTGAAGCTTAGCTCCCCACTGTTTATTATCCCAGTGACCTTGGACACAGGCTCATTAAGCTCTCTGTCTACAAAATGGTGATACTAAATGAAATGCAATACCAACAAGCTCCTAGAACTAGTGTCTGGAACCCAGTAAGCACTTAATTCATATTAGGAAGCAGGGTAGAGTCTGTGGCAAGTCTGAGAATGACCCTAGTAAGTAACGGAGACCTGGGTTCCAATTCCCTCGTCTCCCTACTACCTTGCCCAGTTGCTTAATTTCTCTGCATTTCCTTGCTTGTAAGATGTCAGCTTGGATCCCTCCTATTATTTTACTGATTTGGGTAAATATGCTGGGCAGAGTTGAGCCACAATGCAGGTGGCATTTTACATTCACTGGAAGACACAGGCAAGATCACAGCAAAAGAAGACGGGTGGAATTTCATCTCCATGTCTGTCACTGAGGCAGCGGAGAGAGGTCTGCAACCGGATCACCGAACTGCGGTCCTGTTTTTGCCCCTTAAAAGCCAGGTGACCTCGGGCAAGTTCTTGCAGCCTCTGAGCCTCAGTTTTCTCAATTCCAAAACATAGATAACAGTAGTGACCTCATGGGCTATTGCAAGTATGAAGTAAGTATCTATGAAAGCACTTAGCGGCTGACTCCTATTAAATGTTCAGTATATTCATAGACAGCAAAAGTCTCACTGTCTGATCCTAGTTTACTGGAAGATCAGGACAGACAGGATGCTTCCGGCAGTGGAACAAAGAGAAATGTTACCAGCCCTCACCTCCCAGTCATGCTCCCCATTTGTCAAGGTGACTCACACAGCCTTTTTCTCACTTTGGTAACTGTGAAGCACTCCCTGGCGGGGTGGGGCTGGGGAGGGCACAAAATCAAGGGTGCTGCCATTTCTTAAATGGCTGCACCCCCCAGCTGGAGATCTCTGTCATTCTTTCTGGAAAGAAGCGAGAAAACAGAAGTTAAACAACATTTTTCATTGGAACTGCTTAGTATACTTGTTTGCTATTATCCTGGACAACATTTTTGGGGATTTGAGGTAAAACACGAACAAGCTTTGGGTTTCTGCTGCAGTGTTTCCCTCTCCATTTGTATCTGCTTCCATGTAAATTTCAGTTATTATGTAACACATAAATTGCAAATATTAAGCTGTAAATGGGATTTCTGAAAACAATCTGTGAATTAGTAATTATAATTTTTTACTCTGAAAATTTCAAATTTACAGAAAAAAGTGCAAAGAAAAACCCAATGAATACTTAGATTTATCCATTGTTATTATTTTGTCACTTATGCTAAGGCATTATTTTTGAGATGTAGAGAGCTGCATTCATATAATATGATCTCTCTCATCCTCTCTCTCTCTCTCTTTTATGCCAGTAGAAGTGTTATAGGGATGGATATAGGTATATCAATAGTGTGACACCTAGGCACTCAGCTTCCGGAAGTTTGAGATCTGTTTTGAGGATTTTCAGAGGGAAAATTTTTTAAACTTTTATTCATTTTTGAGAGACAGAGTGCAAGAGGGGGAGGAGCAGAGAGAGAGGGAAACACAGGATCTGAAGCAGGCTCCAGGCTCTGAGCCGTCAGCACAGAGCCCGATGCGGGGCTCAAACTCACTGACTGTGAGATTATGACCCGAGCTGAAGTCAGAAGCTTAACGGACTGAGCCACCCGGGTGCCCCTCAGAGGCAAATTTTAATGCAAGCATATGGAAAGTTTTAACTTTAGTTTCTGTAAGAGCTGCAAGGTTAATTTCAGGCAATTCCCTCAACCAGAGCCCTATGTGGGGGAGTGGGGGTAGGGGAGGGTAGTGGAGGAGTGGAGAGGGTGGAGGAGTTTTATGGAAACTATAGTCAAGTACGCTAGTGATAGAGATGATGAACTAACCGCTCAGCCTCAGCAGACTCTTTTTGGGATGGCCACTTACTAGCCGTGTATGGTTGGGCAAATCACCCTGACGCCTTTTCATTTGTAGAATGGGAACAACAATCAATGCCTCAGTACCTGGGTTTTTAGTAAGACTCATTTTCTGAATTGTGAACTGTAATTATCTTTTTTAATACGAGGAATTGACATACCATTTTATTTGTAGGAGGAAGGAGGGAGAGGAAGGAAGGAAGGAAGGGAGGGAGGAAGGGAGGGAGGAAGGGAGGGAGGAAGGAAGGAAGGAAGGGAGGAAGGGAGGGAGGGAGGGAGGGAGGGACTGGACAGAAGATTTTTATGTGCAGGAGAGAGGGGGAGGGTAAAAATCTAGGTAGGAGGACAGAAATCAAGGGAGGCTGTTTCCTGAGCCTGCGGGGGAAAGTTGACAGAAACTCACAGTCTGGGGAGAGAAGAAAGCATCTTTCAGGGAATCCCGTTAGTTGCCACGTTCCAGGGAACCCATCCCCAGAATGTTCCTTCACGTGGCTGTGGGAGGAGGACGCGTGGGCTTTTGAGACCCCCCCCCCCCCGGCAAACTTCTTTCCAGGCCATGGGGCACTCTGGCCTTCGCTCTGGCTTCCAAGGCACCCAAGGGATGCTTTTTCTTTTCTTCCTCTGGGCGGCCAATTTCAGGATTTAGAAAGCTAGTGCGCCCAACGCACGGCCAAGGATCTGCTGGATAACTTCTCTACGAGCTTTGCCCAGCTCCTAGATGCCTTCCCAGACCTGCAACTCGCGGGCCAGGACATTCAGCTGCACCTTGAGGGTGGCTCCTCAGCGCAGATGCCCGCTCCTCGGCCGTGAGCTGGCGTGTGCAGGTGAACTGGTGCCCACGGGCGCCGGGACAGCGACCAGAGCCACAGAGGCAGCGATGGGGGCGGCGCGAGGTCGGCGAACTCTCTCCTTTTCATCCTTTACATTTCTGCTGAGATCTCCTCCATAAATAACAAGAATAAAACGTGTACTTGGTTTTGTCTCTGCGCTCCCGGGATCGTAGCGGGGGAAAAAATGAAGAGAAACCACGGCGGCCCCACCGGCTGCTTCTGGAGACCCCTGAAATCAGCTGGAACTGCCCCTGTGGAGAGCCCTCGGGCCTGGTCCTCTAAGACCCGAGGTTCGACGTCCCACCGCACTGGGGGTGGGTCCGGGTGTGGGGCCCTTCGGACGAGGGTGTCGCTGGCAGGGCTCCAGGCGCCGGAAGGTGCCAAGCCCCGCTCACTCCGCACTGGCGATGCGCGCGGACGCCCCGGGCGCGCTCCGTCCGGCCCGCTTGGCAGGGGCGCGCGAGGCAGCGCGCGCGGTCCCCGGGGACAACCCCGAGGCGGCCGAGCTCCGGGCGGAGGCGAGAGCGCGGCGGCCCGCGAACGGCCGGGGTGCGTCTCGCCGCCTCAGGGGTAGCGCTGCGCTGCGGAGAGCCGGGCCGGCGGTCCTGAGGGCGCACGCGGGCGGTTGGCGCGCGCCGCGCCCGGGGGTCCAGCGCAGAGCTCCGCGGCTCACCTGGCCGCTCCCGGGGGCCGAGCGGCTCCTGCGGGACCGGGAGACGCCCCCCGCCCCCGCCCCCGCCCCCGCGTGGCCCGGCTGGGCTGCCGCGAGCCGCGGGCGGAGGCGGAGGAGGCGGAGGAGGCGGCGCCGCGCGGACTGCCTCCTCCCCGCCCCTCGCGTCTCCTCCCCGCGCCACCGGGAAGGACAAGGGGACTGGGCACGGGGACCCCGGCCAGTGAGCGCCCGTGCCCCGGGGCCGCCCTTTGCGCGCGCTCTGTCGCCTGGAGCCCGGGGCCGGCCTCGCCTCCCATGGTGCTGGCCGCAGCCATGAGCCAGGACGCGGATCCCAGCGGCCCGGAGCAACCCGACAGAGATGCCCGCAGCGTGCCGGGTGCTCCCGCGCCCCCCGCGGCCCCCGCGCCCACAGGCCCGCGAGGGATGCCGCCGCCGCCGCCGCCGCCGCCCCCGGCCGGCCTGCCGCAGATCATCCAAAAGTAAGAGGAGGGAAGGGGAGCGGGGACCCGGGCGCGCTGAGGCTGCATCTCCCTCGTCGCCGCTGAACTCCGCGCGGCCGCCTTGCGCTTGAAGTTTCCGTGTCCTCTCTCTGCGCAGAGTCGGGGTCATTCCGGCTGTTCCTGAGGTTGGGGATAGGGAAGCCAGTTATCTGGGGGATAATAGGTTTGTTTTTCCTTATCCCTTTTTTATATTCAGGGGCGTTCCTGGATGTTTTGAACGAAAATAGCTCAAGTTGGGGGGAAATGGCCCAGAGACTCTAGTTCATCCCTGTGGTCCCAAGAGGCCGCTGGAGTGTGCGGGGAGCCGTGCGTGAGTGTGTGCGCGCCGGTGAGGGTGTGTAAGGAAAATGCCGCCACCGAGCAGCCGCCCATCATGGTGCCCCTGGAGTAGTCCGCGGTGGCACTGGGTGGAAAAGATGGTGAGGGTTTGTAAACAACACGTTTTGTTTTGCCCTGAAAGAAGTGTTGACGCTTTTCAAGAAGGCCCTTGAGAAGAGCGCGTAGCCACGCCACCGTTTTGCATGAATGTTACCATCTTGCGATTCGGGTGCTGTGCGAATCTTACAACTGGTGAGTAGGTTGGGGTGGCCCCCGGGCTCAGAGAAGGTCTGTTCAGCCCAGCCTTTGGGGGCGCAGCAGCAGAACGCGGAGATTTTATTAGTTCTTTCGAGATTTTGTTGGACAGTTGAAGGCCTAGAATGTTGGTTTGTTTGAAGGATCTTTATCCTCCTGGAGGCTTTCCTCAGCTTGTCCTGAAGTCAAGACGGGTTTAAAAAATGTAGAGGAGTCGGAGTGATGAGTGAAACTGACGATCTGACGATTCGGGAGGGAGGCTCCCACGTACAGAGAAGTCAACCTTGTGGAACAGAGCGGGCGCTGCTGTGTTGATGCTTTGAGTTACACAAACCTGTGAAAATGCAGTGAGAGAAATAACCAGCGATGGGGCGCAAGGGGAAGTAAATGGCATTTTAATTATTGTTTGAAAGATTGACTTTAGGAAGAATAGTGAAAATTCAAGTTTGACAGCAGAAGACGTTGGTCTCATATTTCAGAACAAAATGGTTCCCCTTTTCTGCCTGGTGGAATCCTAAAGTTCCATTAGTGACAACTTTTTGCTTTAATTCGATTTTATCTGACTTTCAACTACTAACAAGATGGTAACTACTTGAACATGAAAATGAGTTACACTATTTTTGTTCCGATGCTGCAAATTATTTCAGCTAGGATTTAACTAAATGTGATTGACAGTTTAGGTACATCATTACTTACAATTTATCTTTAGTTCTTACTATAAATATAAACCAACAGAGAAAGAGATGTTTAAAGCAAAAGTTCGTTTACTAAAAAAAAAAAAAAAAAAAAATAACTAATTGACCAGTTATTAACTGGAAAACATCTAATGTGCTTATTACCAGAAATGTCTTGTGGCTTGAGATTAGGCTACACATTAGATTTATTGAGTTTGCTTTGGTATTGTAATCACCGTGTGTTTTCCTATCACTTAAATAGGACAAAAAACTAGGAATTTTATGTTCACAGAAATATCTTTGTAGATCGGTGTCTGATTTACCCTGGAAAATTCTATCTCTGAAATATGTTACTGTGAGAGATAAGAACTTTTCAAAGGTGAACTCCTTCTGCTAACAGTCCAGGATGGGAACTTCAAGAAGAGCCTAATGGCCCTGCCTTGTTTTGCATTGGTGACAGATTAGTGTTCAAGGGGCCAGGTTCAAGGCTGGTGATTGTGCCCATGGGAATGGATGTTTATGGGCTTAGGTTTCAAAAACTTTTTTAATAAGGATGATTTGAGGTTTGCTCCCCTCAGAACCCACTGAAATTGCGCTGGAACCAGGCATAACATGGCAAATGCTTTGCAGGTCCATCTTTAATGCGCTGAAACTTGAGCAGGTTATTTTGAAACTACATTTGCATAATTTAATCTGAGCAACCATTTTTATGTAGTTATGAGGGGCCGTTTGCATCAGCCATCTTTGAGAAAACGCAGTGGGGAGATTGCCCTCCTCCGCAAAAGCGGTGGCAACGTCTTGACTGAAAATTTTGTGAGCTAGAGCTTCGGATGAACTTCTTCTAGTGGATGGCCTATTAAATACATTTTATTGGGGAACCTTTGTTTATTCTAGGCATTCTAGTGGGGTCATTATGTAATTTGAAAGAGGAGAAGTTTTGAGCTCTTTCATAATGATGAAGATCATATCCATGTTATTTGTGTGCATAGCGTGTAAGGATTACAATAATTTTTTTTTTTTTTTACTTCTAATGTCTGTGTTTGGTGATTTTCATTTATATCAGCTTGCGTTTTGGATAAAGTCAAGGACTTTGGTAAACTAATAGTCATGATCATAATAAAAGCCTGTTCCTATTCATGTGTGTCATATTTGGTCTTAAGAGAAATGTTGTTTCTATAAGTAGCTGAAGACATGAGGTGTGACGTTGAATAATGAGACTGATTTTGATACTTGTTTTATGGAAGCGGGACTCGGTACTCAGGACGATTGCAATGAAAGTTAATTTCTGTAGCGTGCTTTTGTTCTAGTCAGGTGTATTTAGTTTTCTTATTACTGCATTCTTAGCTTCAGTCAAGGATTGCCCATGACCTTTCTGCTCATATTAACCCCTGACTCCTGGCCCATATTGGCATCACCTGTAAACATCATCATCCATGTTTAGACATACAACTAGTATCTCGTAAGATCTTTGTTTTAAACTTGCATTCTCAAAGTTGGCCAATGCAGAGACAGTATTGCATAAAATGTAAAGAAACATTATGTTAAACCGTTGGGGCTTTATAAAGAAAAAATACAGATAACAACTTAGACGATTTAGGATGAGTTTAGGAAGTCAGAATAATTTGACGACTTAAGATATGTATATTCTCCATATTAGGAGAAGACAACATTGACTGCTGTGTGTTGGTGAAGGTTTTACAAGGACTTATCTCCTTAATCATTCACAACATTTTATTTCCAAAAGTGTTTTATGTGTTAATTTTGTGCTTTCAAATCAAACCTCATTCTTGATTTACAAGAAGTTATTTATTAACCTGGGTGAACAACGGAAGTTAAAGTTTAGGTTGCAAATTTGAAAACCTTCTTCCCAGTGGAAACAGGGTCTGTGAATTCTGTGTGAAATATTGAAGTCCATTGTCAGATGCAACTATACCGTGTCACTAATCATGGCGAAAATTAACCAAAGAAGCACACACACCTTCTGTGAGGTGAACACGTACGCAGTTTTCCTAAATTACTTGACTTGCAGCAAAATATTACTTACTTTTTAATGCATGACATCAGTTTGTACATTTGAGTACAGATGAGTTATTTTCTTTCCTTTCCAGATTATTTTGATAAGCGATGACTAAAAATCAATTATAAAAATAGAAAAGGTTTTGGTTTAGCATTTGATAACTAGTGTTCCCTACATGCATAAATCCAGCTTTGGTTTCTAAAGTTTATGTAGTCTTCTGCATAGTGTTAGGACCCTGGCTGACTGTTTTCAGAGGAAAGGTGCCCCTGATTCAGTACAGGAAATGTTATAAGTCGTTATTCTATTTGCAGAGAATTTTACAGACATTTTGCATTTGGAAGGATCTCCAGGTAACTCTTAGGGAGCAGCGTGTCGGCAAGTTGTGTGTGATGTCCAGTCACTTTGATGGGCATGCTGACAATTACATCCAGGATCGGGGAGGAAATAAGAATTTGCCCAAAACGGACATTACCTCACACTTACACTTGGTCCTTTTCTGGAAAGAGGGTGGAATTTCTAACATCTGTGCCAGTTTCTAACATCAGTTTGAGTCCATTTTTAGAGAAAACAAGGATACACTTGTAGAAGGAATTTTGAAAATTTTGAACACAATCTTATGCTGCACGTAGGACAAGCATTCAGCAGAAAATATCTGAGAGGATTAAGTGTTTACTCAAAACAGGGAAGGAGAGAGGGAGGGTTCTTAGCATTCTGAAAAGTTTCTTTGCATCTCTAGAAAGGTATTTCTTTTTTCTTAAATTATTTTTTCTTTAGGGTTTGTTGTGATCTGTAGTTTTAGAGAGGAAGTATAGTCATCTAGTTATGAGTTTTTTTCTCCCAAATTGCCAAAGAGCTCAGTATTATGAAATGTAGTACATTATTCCCATTAGTCATGGTAAGTGACTATACATATGGTGTACACAGAGCTAATGCCAGTGCTGTGTGTGTGTGGGGGGGGGAATAAAGAAAAAAATTATCCCGCATTTTATTCTTCTATCCACTTAATTCTCTTGCTACCTTCTTAGCAGCTGATAAAATTAATAATTTTAAAAAGCCCAGATCTGTTGGTTGGAGTGTGTTAAGATCTGATCTGTTAAGATCTTTTTGCCTGTCCTTACAGTCGCCGGGAAAAACCCCACCAGGACTCACAGTGAAATGATCCCCCATTTTCCAGTTTCTCTGTCTTTCTCTGATTTATTTTTCTTGTGGCTGCAGGTTCTTTGACTCCAGTTAAACTAATATTTCTCCCTGCCCCTAACAGCTAATCCTTAAGTAAACAAACTGATACAGCTCACAATTCATAGCACTGATAAACAAGACTCTAAAAAAATGTTAGGAACGGGGGTCTAACCAAGGCATAGAATTAAAATGGACTGAAATAAACACCGAAAGTGAGAATGGAAGAAGCTTGAGATAGTGGAGTTAAAACTGCAGAGAGAAATTGGGATGTAGGCACCCCTCTCCCTTCCTCCACCCTGATCCCTCTGCCAGACAAAAGCTTGAAAGGGTCTCCTGTGTCAGAAAATCCCACTTAATCTGATTTGTATTTCCCGCCACAGTAATTATCTTGTTTAGGATGGTCTAACTGATACGATCTTGTATATTTTAACAGGGAGAGTTGCTGTGGGTCCACAGCTGGTTGTGAGTGACTGGTAGCTGTGTTTAGAATAATGCATTGAAAAGTTTTGCAGAAAGTAGTAAAGTGATCTGTATTC